ACATTTTTAGGTAAAGTAAGATAAGAACTAGTCTATTGATTTCTCTTGTAACACCTGCACACCATTACATCGAGTAATTAATAAGACTGAAATATAAAAATGTATACAAGAAGTGACCAGTCGAGACCTTTATGTAACACATTATCTAATGTTAGAATTATTGTAATCTTCCCTAGCCTCGATTGATTGATTGATTGATTGTATGTCGTTTAACGTCCCTCTCGAGAATTTTTCACTCATATGGAGACGCCACCACTTGTCGGTGGAGAGCTGCAAATTTTGTCCTATACTCGGCATTTACGGCCATTGAACAGTGAGGGATCTTTTTCAAGCCAGCACCTACTGCGACACGGGACCTCGGTTTATACGTCCCACAGTGGGATTCGAACCCGCGACGTAAGGATCAACTCCTTACTTCGCGACTCTATAGCAGTCGCTCTAACCACTGCGCCACGCGGGCGACCCCTAGCCTCGAAAAGACATGGATGATAAAGCTTGAATTTTTATGGGACTTTTTCTTTACTATAAATTAATTATTTTGAAATATAATATTGCTTGGTTCCTGCCACCTAAAATATAGTAATCAAACAAAACACCTTAATTACTTTTCAGTTTTATTTCTAAAAGGTTGTTTATTATAAGATATGGATTTTTGACTCCCAAATAAATAAGATTTTCTGCAATTGTTTATCGTTATGATGTCTGTCATAGACAACAGATCAAGGTCAAATGAGTTTTTCTTTCTTTAGATGGCGATCAAATATGGAGATAAAGAATAGTAATCGTAATCAAGCTCAAAAGTCCATAGAAAAATAATAAAATCAGGAGCAGAGCATACACGGACCCCCAAAAAACATCAGAGGTGGGATCAGGTGCCAATGAAGATCAGCATCCCCTGCCCACCGGTCACATTCGCGGTGTGCTCCTCATCATGATCGGGAAAAAAGGAGAAGACCGTAGACAATTCAGTGTGTAAATAGTGGCCTAACAGTCGTTCGTTGTGATGTTACTGATTTTGGTAAAATTTTGTGATTTCAAATTTTCTAAAGATTCCTTGGAAATTTTAAGTATCTACATCTGATTTACAACACTTTTCGAATATATTATTGTACAGTACTCCTGAAGTTTCCCCTTCACTGATGTTAATAAACTATCCTATCACAGAAAATTGGTATATTGCAGATAATTCAAATTTTACACTAAATATCTTTGTATGCACCCAATCTGGGAATACTGGTAAATATGGTTACAAGCAATTCATCGTTATATCTCACTTTGTTTGAAGAGTTATTGATTATTTAGCAGGTAGATATATAGGCATACTGGGTCGAACATTACAACGTTAAAATAAATTGTTTATGTAGCATAAACAATTTTTATTCTTTTATCTCAATTCCATATTTCTCCCAAATGATAGAAAGGAATTATTTGCATGATTTGCAAATACAATATGTCTTATACAGATATTAATCTAGGCTCAAATAGTAATGCACTAAATATTTTTGACATGATCGAAATGTGTTTTGCAAGCTGGCACTATGATATGAATATTCAAGTGTAGCCGTTCCTTTGAGTAATGAAAATAGTCATAACAATGAATTTAAATGAATTAACATAACTTACGATTGGGGTTGCCAAGTAGTTTATTGTTTTGTTTTCCCCAAGCTTGTTAAGAATATACATTGTAAAAAGAAATATGGCAATCAGGCAAATGGACAAATTCGGTTCCTCCTCTGACAAAACGTTCAATTTACATATGCATGTAATTATTTTGTGTTATGTTCCCTGTGTCAGACTTCATTCTTATTTTAGAAAAAAGCATGTAAAATGGTCACATAGTGTTCATTAATTAAACTATTTTTGCTGAATTTCCTCATTTTGATGCATTGGTACGGAATTTTTCCTCCGGAACGCAACAACCGCAAGATGTTTCATTTTAAGGCCTAAGATGAATTGGGCTTACAAAGAAGAAAATAATATTGTGCTCCAATTATGTCTTTCAACCGTGAAATGAAATGGGAAAAATAATTTTCAAAAAAAAAAAAAAAAAAAAAAAAAAAAAAAAAAAAGAAATTTGAACAACAGAAATCTAGATTTATTGTTGTTGTTGTTGTTTTTTTTTTGTTTGTTTGTTTGTTTGTTTGTTTGTTTGTTTGTTTTCTCAAAAAATGCATCCCAAATACTCAATACTTATTATAAAATGTAAAAGGTAAATATAACAAACAGTGATCAATCTAATAAATACAGTAGACAAAAAAATTGCGAACAGGGCAAAGAAATACCACAGGTGGAATCAGGTGTCTAATTAGTATGTAATTATAATAAAGGTATTTTGAAAAGAAGTACATTTATGCACTCTAGAAGAAATTTTTAAATTACATTTTGTGTACAAATTATAATATACTTTATATGATAAAGAAGAATGTTTCTATAATATAAATAAATACAAACTTCCAAATATTTCCAAAATATATGCTAGTCGTTTAAAAGTAAATCATTTACCTACAATCAACAGTAAAATTTGCATGTATTTCTGAAAACACAAAGTAGTTGAAGCGAAACATGGACTTTGGAAGGTTTGTACATATTGAGTTTGTGTTGTACATGTATCGTTGTAATGAATGATTTTCCGTTTTTTAACTAGAACGCATTTCACCACCACACATTTGTTTGTTTTGCTTCACCTGCTTTATTATAAATTTAGCCTGAGTTTTATCACGTTTTATAGATATTCCCAAAATAACAAAATCACGTTCCAATGTTATTATCCTTGGCATCAAACCAATTTTTAAAGGAAAAAGACCTTAAAACACAATATATTTTGTCATGGACGATTTCAAGAAGATTCAAGAAGTGAACTTCAATAAGAAAAATAAGGAATTAGTGTGAGTCAAAAAACTATTAAGCTGTATAATTTATTGGCTAGGAGAGGAATTGAATATTTGCAAAATAAAATTATTACAAGTCATAGAAGAGTTTCCACATTGGCAGTGTGCGTCACTGAAAAAAAAAAGAGAAAGGAAAAGAGGGTTGAAAATAATGCATATTGCAAAAAAAGGTTTTAAAGTATTTTTCTTAATGCTGCAAAATATTTTAATTATTAATTTTAAATAAAAGCAATATTTCTCATGGCAAAATGAAGTAATTTTCATGTATTCTATGTAGCAAGGAAATAATATGTAAATATTTAAGATCTTGTAATTTCGAGACAAGTAAACGCATATTTATATGTGACAAAAATCCGATGAGACATTTTTTAAAGATAATGTTTATTTTAAGAAAAAAGTCATGTGAAAGTATGCTATATTTCTTATATCATTACACAACATCAGGCAAATATTTTATAACAAAAAAAAATGAAAAACTACTTGTCAACAAAGTGAATATTTGTCAAGATTATTTAAGTTGATCTTGAAAGCTTTCTTTCATAAGATTATGAAGTTTTTTTTTTTTTCGATATGTAACTTAATTAACTTGACCTTACTTTAAGAAAATAAATCTCAAATTCTTAAAAGATTGAAAATATTTACTGAGAGTTTTCTTTTTATGTTATAATCAATAATAAGTTTTGTTCATTAATTGATATTATTTGAACGATTTTCGTAATTTTAGTTTTAAATTTTCTTACCACTGGTATCCCCAAATATTTCTTTTTAACTCTAAAATTATCCAATTGATATATTAATATTTTTTTTTAAAAAAATGACAGAACATTAAGCTTTCATTATTTTGAGTAAATAATTGTAAATTGCCGGTATACTATTTGCAAGCATCGATATCTAGGTTTGAGGACATAAGAAAATATAAATGAAAACACTGTGAACATTTGTATTGTTCATGTTTGCGGAGTTATCCATTATCAAAATTATCATAAAAATTATTGGCTAGCAATTGGTGTGAAATATGTTTTATCAACAGGCTATGTAACTATATGCATAAAAGCTCGTTTTCCTCTATACATACTGTATATTTCATATTTGGGCCAAGTTTTTTTTTATACATATATCTGTGTAAACTGTACTGTGGTGGAAATATAATAAACTCATGGGTTTAAATTACGGATTACTCCTATTCCGGATCGATACAGAGGGCTAATGGCCGATTTAGCAGGTCAATAGGATATTTGTAATCCTATGCATTTGATCCCATATCTGGTATTTTCAGAGGTCCGTGTTTATGTCCTGTTCAGAAATTGCATTCTTTATTAGACTTCTGAGCTTGATTAATGTTCAACATCTGCACGCTTTTTGTAAATATGAATTCATCCCCTCGTAATGTAGATTCAAGTGGCAACAATTGTTGAAAAAATTTACACAGAAATACTGTGGAATCATTAGATTTCGTGGTGGCTTAGTATTCGTGGAATTCGTAGGTCCCTACTAATTTTGATGATTCCACAATATATAGACATGCTGAAGGATAAAAAAGCCAAAATGTATAAGGTGCACATCATACTCTAATCCACAGTAAAGTAAAATTGACAACAATTGGATATTGTCAAGAACAGAATGGTGATGATGGTGATGAGCGGTGTTGCCCATGGGCCTTTATAGTAATGAATAAGTAAAAATACTGATATCGTTCTTTTTGCTTCCTCAAGTATACAACTGTCAGAAAGGGTTTGTTGGGGTGTAACTATATGAAAAGTAAACATTACGAACAATAACCAATCTCCATAGTATAGATATACCAATATCGTTGCTGAGAGATTCCGGCAAGATATGAGTATTAGCCGACATCATCATATTTTCTTTAGCGGGGGATACATATTTTCAAGAGTTCAGAATGTGGGAGAATGTTTCGTTTTGAAACAACTCTCCAATTCTTTGTATACATAGACCACCAGAGGAATCTAATTCAATTAGTTGAGGCTGATAATGAGGAAAATACTGTCAAAAAGGGGGGTACAAAAAGTTTGGCAATCTGCCAAATTAGAATACAAAATATTCATTCAAGGTAAATGTAATGGAAAAATACCTATTTTTCTTTTATCTTTATTTTTTAAATATTAACATTTAAATTTTTAACAAGTAGAGAAGCGTTTATTGTGAAGATTGAGTTTAGTCACACCCCAGTGTTTGAGGGGATTGTGGAACTCCATGAGGTGGACAGGAATGTCGATTATCTCCCCTAGATACTGGAGTTCCTCCAGTTCTATCTGCATGTCCTCCACCAGACTTCTGTGATCTTCACAGCTCCACCTTAACCGGATGTCCTGTATCTCGTGGCGGAGGGTCAGTAGCTGTCTGGCGAGAGCCTGATCTACCAGTCTCATGGCCTTCTGTAATATCATAATGGAATACAACTTAATTCATTATAATTGAAATATCGCATGCTTTTATTAGGGGGCTCCAATGCTCATCAACATACAAAAGAATAGTTTGTTCTGTGTAGGACTTTGTCCTAGGAATATAAGGATTAGCAATGTAGATAGCAGTTTTCCAGGGGAAAGATAATTACATACATAATTATATATTTCATTGAAAATTTATATATCAACTTTTTTTCCTTCACATCATTATACGAATTAGACAATGAATAACCAATGTTAACTGGTCAACAAACTTGAGCATCTTAACCTTTATATTTAGCCACTGTGCTTTAGTCATTATGTTCAGAATTTTGAGTCATTCAATAACAAGTTGGTATTTATAGATAAACAACTAATTTTTTCAAATTCTGAGAATTCAATTTTCGACAGCAATGCTTTTGTAGGAAATGCACTGTCAAATATTTACGAGGTTTTAAGGAAATTGTTTCTCAAGGTAAAAAGGTAACCATTGAACACATTTTCTTCAAATTGCTACACGTATGCATCGTTTAATTGTTATTTTAAAGTCAATAAATAGATATATCTTTTACTGTTTAAAAAACAGCTTAATTTTGTAGTAGATTTCTGATCAAACAATACCATACATAGCAATGATGCAGTCCCTGTTGAGGACTATTTTAACAACCAAATCATTTGTGAAATGACAAATTAAATACATGTAGATATATATTTAGCATATTGGTTATAAATGTGGGGAACAAATTTATCGCACGACTTAAATGTGTCTTTGTTTGAATGCTTCGTAGAAAAACTACATCCTATACTTAAGTTCTGATGATACATTACTCGAATAACCGTCGTTGCATCTCTTCAAAATATACCAGAAATATTGATAATTGTTTTATTATCTTCTGATTTCTAATCTGTTTTCATAACGTCTAAAAATACATACAAATCAAAAACTATTATATCAGCAATTCTAGGATTATATTGCAAATAACATCCAATGGAATATGCACAAATGCCTGGTAATGCACTTCATTTTTTTTTGTAAGAAAACTTGCTTAAGGTCAAGATCTAGTAAATGACTTCAGACTAACTTTTTGGTGCTAGATCCATTATGACGTCATAATCAATTTTAACTTTCTCTTTCCCGTACTTTATGGCTCTAGTAGAATTTTGTAGAAAATAAAGTACTTTCATAGAATTCAATTTGAAATCATGTGAAAAGTAATCCCGATACCTATATTCAATTTGATATTATTTTAAAGAAGAGGCCAAGAACATACAAATTACCGTTTTCTGAGAGACTGTAGGCAATCTGGATGCATTTCTTTGTCTGATATGGAAAAAAAAACTCCCGTATTCATGACTAGTTTTCTTAATTTTCCATTGAAAATGACAGTTTAAAATATGATTTTTCGTCTTGTTCATCTACAAATTATGCCCCGAAACACCTTATCTGACCACGCTAAAGTTATAAAGCACCATTAAGGTCAAGATCTAGTAAATGATTTTAGACTGCCTTTTTGATGCTTGATCCATTATGACGTCATAATCATATTATACTTTATTTTTCCCGTTCTTTATGGCTGTAATAGAATTATGTAGAAAATAAAGTATTTTCCTGGAATTCAATTTGAAATCATGTGGAAAGTAATCCCGAAACCTATATTCAATTTGATATTATTTTAAAGAAAAGGCTAAGAACATACAAATTACCGTTTTCTGAGAGACTGTAGGCAATCTGGATACATTTAATTTGTCTGATATGGAAAAATCTTCCATATTCATGACTGATTTTCTCAATTTTTCATTGAAAATGACAGTTTAAAATTTGATTTTTCGTCTTGTTTATCTACAAATTATGCCCCGAAACATCTTATTTGACCAAGCTATACTTATAAACCTTCATTAAAGGAATTTATTTCTCAAATTTGAGAAATCTGTAGGCTCCTTTTATTTACTAGATCTTGACCTTTAGTATCAATATTTCAATCACGATTTCTTGGGGAAAATTATATATTATTGACGAACATATCGTCAGTCCTTAACCGAAACTTTACGAAACAATTAACTTTTTATGTACCGACTCAGTTTATTGACTAGTTTTTGGTTGAAGGTCTTAATTAGATAAAGAAGTCTTTTGAAAGATTTCAATATTTTTTTTATCTAATGTAGGTTCTTCTTCCTAATCAAATCATAAACTTATCTTGATTTTCCTTAATTCTTACTAAAACTGAATCTCCTTTGATTCACAACTTAAATGGAATATATATTGTGGAAAATTTGATCTGTTAATTATATTGTTTTATATATAAACCCGACAAAATTAATACAATTTTGTACACGTCTCTAAAAGATATTATTTCTTTTATATTATATAAAACTACTTAAAATTCTACCAAGGTCCTATAAAATGAGAAAAAAAGAAAACTTTTCCCAGTAACTATGTTGATGTTTCGAGATAGATGTTGGACAAAGAAGCATAAATCCTACTAATCAAAACTTCTTATATTGTTACTCGAGAATTAAACAAGGTAAATGTACAGAAATAGTTCTAAGTGAAACTGAGATTTTATAATTTACAATGAATATACATACATTGGAAAAATGAATTTCTCTTTCTCTAAAAAATATCTTTGGTAACATTTAAAAATCCTAGGAAAATAAGCAAACTCAAATACCTTTTCCACTAAATGCACATATACAGTCTGGAAGTTCACAACCTACACAAATATCAATTCTTATTTCAAAAGACAGTGAGACACAAACTTTTACTACGTTTTTAGTTCTCAAACTGGTTAATCATTACATGCAGATATATTAATCATAGTACCAGCTCTTGTCGAATCCAGTTCAAAGCCTGATCAATTGTCATCGTTTTCCCTTCACAGTCCACCTGGCCAGCAGGGAATCCTTTCCTTTGTGGTTTCGTAGTCCGACATTCCTCTGTCCAGTTCTTTAACGCATTCTCACATAAAACAGCCTTCCTGTTCCTCTGTTTGAAAAAGTTGTCATAATGATTCGTTTTCCAGTTGATGTAACTCTGTCTCTTGGTCTGGAGTCGTAACCTTGAAGCTGTGGCGCGTAATCGGACGAGGTCAGATGGGGAGCCCGGGGGTACAGGCTTTTCCTCCTCATGGTCAGGATTACAGTCGGAATTTTCGGATACTCCTTCTTTAATCACATTTAGACCTGGTTGTCGTGATACAGGTTTCATGTCCTTCGCAGTTTTGATGTATTTTACTTCATACAGGAGCACCTTTCTGATTTTCCGACATAGTTCCGGTTATATCTTTCCTGATTGACACAAGAAATTGTAATGTTTTTAGATAAACAGAACGTTATCCGTTTGTATCATTTTCTTATCCATCGTCTTAATTGACTCATCAGCATAAAAAGCAATCCCGACTTGTTATCGTTCACCCACGATTACAATGTGCGTGGTGCAAGATCTCTGTTCCTTATGAATTCAAGTGGTTCCTATCTTTTAAAAGTTCAAAGCGTTTACTTAAATATATTCATTTCAAGGAGAGATTCCCTGTGAGTACTGCGCTGTAAGCTGAGACCGTTGTTAATTACAGTAATGCTCAATTGAACACATGTTTGTTTCCTCGCGTCTAAGACTATTTCTGACTTCTGATCGCGAAGAGTTATCTGTTGAATGAGTGCGTAAGAATGTCGGCTATTTTAGAGAATGCTTTCGTTGGAGGCTTGACCATAGTTAGCATCAATCAAATTTACCATGAAAAAATGTTTCCACGATGGCAATTTATTGGCTTTATCAAATACTAATTAGTTTATTCTTTCTTTAGTTTCCACTCATTTCTCTATCTGAATGAAGAGCGCATTGTTCATTATGCAAAATTAAAAATTTTGTGCATGCATATGCTTGTAACAAGCTTATAATAAGCATTTTCAATTTTGTTAATCGAAACCAAGAAATAATCTAACAAAGAGGTGTTATTTCCATCAGCGTTTTTGAAATTAACGGCAAACGATAAAAAAATTTCTCGCCTTTCTCAGCTTAATGCCTGTCATAAGCTGTTAAACGCCAAGTGATTATGCGGAATTTCCAGTAATATACGTAAAGATTTATCTCCTTCGCTTGCATCTGTAACGTGTCAATCATAGATATAGCCGAGCCGAGCGAGTCAATCAACGCGTGATTAATAGAGAATCAACAAGTAAACACAAATTATACTGGCTATTTCTGTGTTGAATTTATTCTTCTGATGGCGAGGCCGAGCACTAAATAGACACAACATGTCCGAGAGGTCAAGATCCAGAGAAGAAAATTCCAATATTACATTATACGTCTATTGTTGAATTATAACAAAACGAAAGAAAATTTAATGTATACTAATTCGCAAACGAAGGTTTTATCTATTTTTTCGGAGGAAAAACTGAAAATAGCAATCAATTCATTGGCATAAATGATAAAAAAAATGTTGTAATGATTATCTAATGTACAGGAAAATTTCAATGAGTTTGATTTCTAATTAGATCTAACTGAAAGAAGATTTTTTTGTCTAATTCTAACTTTTGAAAAATTGTTCAATTTTGTTAAACAGTCATTACACCCCAAAATCATGCAGATTTCGACTGAACCGGTTAGCAATTACAATATATGCGGTCACGGACATGTATTTACAGTAAACCATTTCACTGAAAATTCTCAAGTTCAAAAATACTTGAAGATATCTAGAATCAATGGCATGCGATTATGGACTATAACGTGTATTTTAAATGCTATTTTATTCAGTTGCAATTCTATATTCCTTAATTTTCTATTAATCAAACGTAAAAATTCTTAATTTTATTTTATTATAAAAACAAATTTATGATTTTTACTGAATGCATATCCTAATAGCACTAGTTCGTCAACTCTATAGGATATACGCCCATAATGTTAAAATCACGTGATATTGGATATAACTGTAGCATGTCCACATTGTTATCAGAGTTTTGAGTTTAGGGATTCCTTGGTCGGAACTTTTCCGCCTGTCCCCATGAACAGCTGGGGTTTCCAGTTGGGGTCTGTCAGTGCTGGTCTGTCGATGTTAAATTTGGAAATGTCGTACCGAGTTTTGCCGTCAATCGCCAGTTCACTGAGAATCTTTCCAAGGAGACTGGCAAACCTGCGAAATGGATACTAATTTTTAAATTAGTATTTTAATTTTTTTGTTGTCTTTACATATCATAGTTTCTGCTTTCAATTTTCAATCATAAATGATTTTATGTTCTGTTTTTAGTCTTGTCGTTTCATTGGAAACATTCTATTATTACACATTTTGAGACAGAGTTTCATTTCATTGGTAACATACTGTTACATTTACATCAGAAGATTTATTTCATTGGTAACATACTGTTATATTTTCAGACTAAGGACACTTACTTGTAACAGTGCCCTGCTCCACAACAGAGAATTACATTGTTGTAACCTTCCACTCTCTTTCCACAGCTATCCACGACAAAATGCCGGTCAGGAGGCATAGTGTACAGACAGGTCTTAGTGTACATCAAAGGACCCAGAGACTGAAATTGTACAGAAAGGTCTTATTGTACATCAAAGGACCCAAAGACTGAAATTGTACAGACAGGTCTTAGTGTACATCAAAGGACCCAGAGACTGAAAATGTACAGAAAGGTCTAAGTGTACATCAAAGGACCAAGCGACTGAAATTGTACAGAAAGGTCTTAGCGTACATCAAAGGACCCAAAGACTGAAATTGTACAGAAAGGTCTTATTGTACATCAAAGGACCCAGAGACTGAAATTGTACAGACAGGTCTTAGTGTACATCAAAGGACCCAGAGACTGAAAATGTACAGAAAGGTCTTATTGTACATCAAAGGACACAGAGACTTAAATTGTACAGAATGGTCTTATAGTACATCAAAGGACCCAGAGACTGAAAATGTACAGAAAGGTCTTAGTGTACATCAAAAGACACAGAGACCGAAATTGCACAGAAAGGTCTTATTGCACATAAAAGGACCCAGAGACTAAAATTGTACAGAATGGTTTTGGTGTACATCAAAGGACATAGACTGAAATTGTAAAGGCAAGTCTTAGTGTACATCAAAGGACCCGGAGACGGAATTTGTATCTATTAGGCAGGTCTTAGTGTACATCAAAGGACCCAGAGACTGAATTGTATAGAGAGGTATCATAAAAATTCACCAAAATCAATAACATCAAAAGTTACGACTTTTAAACACTTAATACAACAATTCCCAACGATAAATTAAAGATCAGGGGCCGGTTGTTCAACTTTTCGACATCATAGACAACTGCTTCTTCAATAAAAATGGAAGCCACACATTTATATAACTTGTCATCCGTCACCTGCAAACTTGTTTTGTGAAAACATTATGATTCTACACAAAAGTACTCCATTGGAAAGACCTTTGTTTCTCATCGGCAATATATATATATATATAGTTTTTGGAGACCAAGTCTTCTAAAAATCTGTTTGAATTCTCATAGTTACTGAGCCAGCCCTCTTCTTAAAAAAAATTGTTTTCGTATTCAGATGAAGCAGAACGTCTTCAAAAAATACTACACGAAAAGAAGTCTCTTGCTGTGGCCTTCAATTCAACATTTAGATATATCAACGGCGTGTTTCAATTAACAATATTTAGTTTCATTCCTACGTTGATTCGATATATCCCATTCAACTCGAAAAAGTCGCCATAGAGACTTTTACATGAAATAAGTGGAATTAACGAACAGTATTCGAGCTCATAAGTCCATTAAACATTACAACATAGGAGCAGAGCAAACACGGACCTCTAAGACATCAGAGGTGGGATCAGGTGCCATGGAGGAATGAGCATCACCTGCCGACCGGTCAAACCCACTGTGTGCTCCTTAACATGATCGGGAAATAACGGAAAAATCCGTCGACAATTCATATGTTTCATATTTGGATGTTCTGTTAGAGAAAGACATTGATGGCATACTAGTAGCTAAATTCTATGCTAAATGTGATGACTTCAACTTTTCTATCGTCAACTTCCTTGCTTTATGCAGCAATATACCATTATCGTCTGCATACGGATTTATGTCTCCAAGTTGATTCGACTCGCACGAGCATGTTCTACAGTGTACGTACAAATAATTTTTAAAAGGAGACAGGCTACTGACAAAAAAGTTGATGTTACAACTTAAGATCATCAACAGCCGCGTTATAAGTCAAATTTCACAAATTCTATAATCGATACAATGACTGTTTGCAAATACAATCTGTTGTTTAGTCGAAGTTGACTGACGTCTTTCATACAAATTGTTTGGTCATTATTTTCACACTGAATTGTCCACGGATTTTTCCATTTACGCGATCATGACAAGAAGCACACGGCGGATGTGACCGGTCGACAGGGGATGCTTATTTCTCCATTGCACCTGATCCCACCTCTCTTTTCAGAGGTCCTTACCCTATTGATTTTTAATACCTTTTAGATTGATAACCCTTTACCTTATAGTTTTATAGGGTAGGTGGATATATTTTTATATGAAAAAAATATGTATTTTTTTTATATGAAAAAAACATGTAACGACAAGTACCTGTGGTCTTAGTATACATCAAAGGACCCAATTACTAAACATAAAAAAAGCAGTGTATAGACAGGCCATAGATTAAATTGATCGAAAGATCCAAGGACTCAACATAAAAAAATACAAAGAAAGGTCTTGGTGTTTATCTAAACATAATTATACAGACAGGTCTAAGTGTATAATAAAACCATTAAAAACGTATACAGACCGGTTCTAATGTATATCAAATGACCTAAAGTCCTAAAGGATCCTAAAACATTTTAAAAGATGAATAATCTTTAAAGCAATCCGAGGGATGGGGGGGGGGCTGTCTTCCTGAATTCCAGGCTTTTAAGTTCTGAATCTTTACAATACAAAAAAAAAAACTTATTTCTGTTCCAAGGAATACGGCATAGGTTCCATGAGTATTGCAAATAAGTTACGAATATCACTTGGATTAAAAACCAAGGAATGGGTGAAAATGGGCGAATGAATGGGCGAATAGCTATAGAGTACAGATTGTGAAATTTTGTTTTCTTCCTTTGCAAAACATATCTTCATAATTATTGCTTTGCAGATCACTACAACCAACCAAATACTCCTGGGATTTCTGTGAGGTGTTAGAGAAACAAAACAAAACAAAAACTCTGTGTATGTTGAAATAGGATAAAAATGTTATTATCTGAAAACAGTTATCTTTCTTTCACCATTCTCTTTAAATAGGACTTCTCATTATATGTTGTAAGCAACTTGTGCAATATTATGTATGAAATTTGTTATTTACTCTTGGTATTGTTTTCTTCAGATGATCAATGCAGGCCTGTTCACGGACCGGATCTGGATTGAAGTTCCGGGTATCTGCTGTGACCACAGGGCCCCCTGCATCAATACCAATCTTACTTCCGGAGTTACCGTGCATCGGAAGTCCGTAAAAGTCATACTTAGGTGAATGGTAAATCCAGATCGGGTATCTATGAACAGAATTAGAGCATAATATTCTTGCAAGCAAGTTGTTTCTTAAAATTTTTCGAGAAAAACTTTTATTTTGAAACTAATTTAATTTGGTTTTTATATTTAAAAAACCCCCAAAACTATACTTTTCTTTAGTGAATTCCT